CGAAGGCAGACGCTTAATGACTGAGCCACCCGGGCTCAGTTTTTTTTTTTTTTTTTTTTTTTGCTTTTATTCAAAAAAACATTTGTCAAGCAACCACTTTGCACCAGGGCTGTATTTCTGTTGACAGCACAGACAGTGGCTATAATGATCCAGTGAACTGTGACAGCACCTAGCACCCAGCTTGGCAGAGTGCAAGCTCCTTAAATGGCCATTCCTTTCCCATTCACTTACTTCATTGGATCTTTCCAGAGACCTCCTCTTAGCCCACTTTCCCAACCCACCTCTTTGGCAGTGATTCAGTCTCAGGCCTCAAAGCCCGGTCCATCGGGGAAGCATCCAGGGTCAACACACCACCCTGATGGGCAGGGCTCCCACCAGTCTCAGCCCAGCCCAGCCCAGCCCTGCCAGCAAGACCCAGAAGGAATGGCAACCCTGGGTGATTGGAGACAGGTTGGGGGGTGCGGGGAACCATTCAGATCTGCTGATTTGAATTAGATAGTCTAAGACTTTTAACTGTTTCTACTGCTGCTGAATTCTGGGGTAACCCCACAAAGAGGGGTCCCCTCAGAGCCTACATGGTGGGGCTGGGAGTGACACTGAATGGCTAGGCGGGCTTTCCCTTTGGAAACCAGGCTTCCCACTCCTCAGCCATTAGTAATACCAGTCCCTTCCCCCACTTCCCCCCCTTCACATTGTCTGCATTCTCACTTCTGACCAAGGAACCCCATTAATTTTCTGTGATGTACATTCCAAATGACATCACTTCAGTTCTTTGAATTTCAGAGAGCTGGATTAATGAACCACAAACTTCAAGCAAATTGGCTGCATAATCCATCACATCTGACCACCGCATTGCCAGTGCCTTGAATCCCAAAGAATGGCAGAAATTTCCCAGGCTGCTTTTGAAAATGAACACAGAAGCCTTAAGGAGCAACCTCCGCTGCGTTCATCCTTTCCAGAAACATTATGTGTCGTCTGTGTGCTGGAAATTAAACGGTCCCATTCTCTGCCTGGTATTTTATTGATATAAATTTAACCTGTTCAAATGTTATATTAAATTCCAATCTTTTCCAGAATAATCTACATTTAATTCCTCATTCCACCAATCTATTGAAAATATCCCTCTTGGCAGCCTTTCAGAAAAGCTATATGAATTGCAAAGTCTTTTAGGTTTTGTTGAAGTATTAAGAACGCTACTTATCCACATATTCAACTGAGGCCCTTCTATTCCATTTCATTTCCCCAAACTCCTTTCATATAATGTCAGAGCCACAAAAACCAGGATCAGTGACTGGGCACAGCCATTCACCTTTCCTTCAGCAGTGAAAATAGCATTAACATTCACCAGTGAAAAAATATATATCAAACTAATTACCTCCTTTTCTTCCAAAGTAAAAGACAATCTCACACCATTCTTTTGGACATAATGCCATTTATTTCACATAAGGGGGGTTTCTGGGTGCTCAAAAAAGACGGTGTTTAATACGTGTGAATCAAAACCCAGATTAGCTAATTAACTGATGTGTCTGAGACTGAAATGAAGAATCACTATGCTGTGAAATTGTTGAAGGCACAGAAGAAACATCATGCCAGGTGAGACTAGTTCATGTGGTCCAGATTCTCTCCACCAGCACAACAAAAGATGCTTTCTTCCAAAAGCACAATAGAATAAAACTTTGGTTCTTTGGAATGATCAGGATATGAATCGTCACTGGATAGCTAAGTTTTCTGGAGAGCTGAAGTTAAGTTCTTTGAGTAGCAAAAGTTTTTCTTTATCTTAACAGTTTCCATATTGAACATCACTTGCTCATTCAGAGTGAGGACTATGAGCACCAAAAGTTATTTACTGGGGCGCCTGGGTGGCTCAGTCGGTTAAGCATCTGACTCTTGGTTTTGGCTCAGGTCATGATCTCAGGGATCATGGAGCCTACTTAAGATTCTCTCTTTCACTCTGTCCCTGCCCACCTGCTCACTCTCTCTCCCTCTCTCTCTCTCAAAAAAAAAAAAAAAGTTATTTACCAAAGGCCTAAGGACTTGATGAATTGTGCAGGGTTATTTGTCCCTCCATAAATTGCCCCAGATTGTACTGGATGTGCCTGACGGTGACTTCTAACTTGGATTCTCTATTTTCTGACTCTCAGATGGGCTTAGAAGACAGAGTCTCAGACAGTTAACATGGTGCTCGGGTGACTTCCAAAGTGTCATTTCTGATGATGAAGCGTTTACCTTCCCCAAATCCCTAAGCCTCAGAAAGAATTAGGTGAGACATTCATCATGGAGAATTTATCCACTCTAAGGGTCCCCATCAGGTTCTTTTTTTGCAGGAAGAGACAAATGCACACATCATTTCTTTACTAGTCACTGTCATCAACAGGATGTGATGGGGAAACCCAGCCCTAACTGATCCAGTCTTGAGTTATGGAGGAGAAAGGACAGAAAATTAGATTCTTGAGTAGAGCTTGCTGGCTCTGGCAGTCCACTGCCTCACTGAAAATTCTAGAAAACCACAGAAAAAAAAAAATTCCAGGCTGAATGGAGAGAATAGGCAACATCAATATCATCACAAAGTTACCACATAATGCTTCAAGATAAATCAATCCATTAATTTAACTACTGCTGTAACATCTCTGTGTTTCTGGTTTATAAAATTTCTTGGAGTTCCAAACATTTATACCTGCACTTCAATGCATATAAATTTTCTAGAAACTTGAAGCTGTTAAATGTGATTACAAACTTTTTATTTTTCCCATCTTGTGCGGAAGCTGGTAAATTTCCAAAACGCACTGTGTGCTTTCTTGGCTATTTAACCAAGAGATGCAGGGTCTTGCTTATTCCTCTCCCTGGGTCACATGCACACCTAGGCACAGCCAGTACTAGATCATGGGACAATGGGACAACGGGACAATGTTCCTGGGGATTACCTTCCCAACTGGGTGATGTTAGCAACATTTCTTAATGTTGTTTTTTATATGTAAAATAGAGAATATAATAGTACCAGGACACCTGGTGGCTCAATCAGTTGAGTGTCTGACTCTTGGTTTTGGCTCAGGATCAAGCCCTGCGTTGGGGGTCTGAGCCCAACGGGGAGTTGACTTGAGGATTCTGTCTCTCTGTCCCTCTGCCCCCCCTCCGCTCATGTGCACACGCTCTCTCTCTCTCTCTAAAATAAATAAATAAATCTTTTTAAAAAAAGAATATAACAGTACCTCTGTCCTAAGGTTGATGTGATAATAAATTAGATAGTGCAAGTAAATAGGCAAGCATGATATATCTCTAAGAGGAAGAGGAAGTTTCTTGGACTTTCTATCAGTTTATACTGGACTCTGTCCCTTCTCTTGTTCTTGTTTTTGCTTTTCATGTTTCTTCTGTTTTCTTCTGGATCACATGGCTGTCATCCATCTCTCTCTTTTTTTTAATGTAAATTCAATTAGCCAACCTAGAGTACATCATTACTTTCAGATGCAGTATTCAATGACTCATCAGTTGTGTATAACACCCAGTGCTCATCATATCACGTGCCCTCCTTCATGCCAATTGTCGTCCATCTCTTACTGTATTTCCAGACCACCTGTTCCTCCTAATTTTATTTCCTATGTCCTGTGAGTTGCCAAAATAAAATGATGCTTCTTAGAGTTGTGTGTAAAGCAAGAGAAAATAGGTCCTGAATTGGAGGTTTGCTCTACCCTAAAATCCTTCCTGAGGGAGTTTGTGATAGTTATGTCCAGCATCCAGAAACCTATATCATTACCCAGTGGTAGTGTCTTGGGTGGCTGTGATTTGTAGGAGTCCAACTTCTGATGCATGGTGAAGGACCATGGCTCCATGTCATTTACCCCAAACATTGCTCACATGATCAGTTTTGTCCAAGGATCAGGACCTGGAATAAATGCATACTCAAGAAACAGAATTCTTTCCAAATGTTGTAGGTTAAAGAAAGTGCACAATTTTGCAGTGCACTTGAAAGTGCACAAAATATGAAGTATTTTTCAAAAGTAAAAAAGAAAGTACCTGAATCTGGTTAAGTCTCTTGACCTAACTTTTTTCTTTAGAGGGGAGGGGACACTATCATAGGTGGAAGGAAATACCAAAAAAGCTGGATCGACTCAGTGCAGTGTGCATGTCGTGTGAAATCTAATTTGAAGAATCTAACAAAAAGAACAACATTTTGAGACAATCATGGAACATTAAACATGAAAGAGGTATTCTGTGATATGAAGGAATGAATGTGACTTTGTTGTGATGATGATATTATGGCTATATATTTTTTTAAATCATTGTCTATTGGAGATACATACACATGTATTCACAGGTGAATGATACGGTGTTTGGAATTTCTTCTAGAGTACCCCAGCCAAAAAGAAACTCTCCCTCTCTCTCTCTCTCTCTCTCTGTCTCCCCCCGACCTCCGTGTGTGTGTGCACGTGCGTGTGTGTGTGGGTGTAAGGGGAATCAATAAACAAAAATAGAATATCGATAAGCACTGAAAACAATACCTTAGAGTTTATTATACTATTCTCGTTACCTTTTGTAGGTTTGAAAATTTTCCAAACACGTCTTAAAGTTTATAGGCTGGTATATGTTTGGAATATCATTTTAGCTGACACATGAAAGCACCGTGCTCCCTGGGATGGAAGGCTAACTAAAAACTTGATCAATCCAGCCAACCATCAGCACTCATTGAGCACCTACTGTGCACCCAGCCAGGCAGCTCTGAGAGGTCTAGCTCATGAGCAACCATTCCTAATGTAGCCTTTGACCCTTGAGTACATTTCTCTTCATCTAATCAATTCTACAAAATCATGGTCACAGTGGGATTCTCATTTGGGGATTAGCACATTTTGAGAGACAATTCAATGTGTCATTTTTGGCCCTGTATCAAATCTCAAGCGTTTTTATTTTTTTTTTAAGATTTTATTTATTTATTCATGAGAGACAGAGAGAGAGAGAGAGAGAGAGAGAGAGAAGCAGAGGGAGAATCATTACTTCCAAAGAGCCTGGGTTCTTTAATACTTTGAGGCTAACAAAAACAGTGTGTACCTGGGAATCAGGAGACAGGAACTCGTGCCCCACACTCCACCAGCGATGAAATGTGTGACTTGAAAGAGTAACTTTTCTGCTCTGAGTCTCTGTCTCCCCATATAGGAAGTAAGGCTAATTGTATCTTCACACATTTTATAGAGAATATACAAAATTATACCTGCCCCTATATTATAGGGATTATGCAAAGAAATGTACAAGTGGTGGAAAATGTTTAATAACTTGAGAGGTAGAAACTGACACCTGAAGACACCTGTGACCTGGGTTCAGGACTTGCTACTCTTCTTGGAGCAAAAGTATATCCTGATAGAAATCCTTGCCTGGGCTTTCATGTTCAGTTGGATGCTAGAGCCCATTCCCTCTTGAACCTCTAAAAACACAGTGAGGTTGGACACAGTGACAGGATATCCTTGAAGCACCTGGAGTGATGCATAGGTGGCCTTAGCCCCCACTAACCCCAGAGGTAGCTAAACAATACTTCCCAGCTGTCTTCTTTAGCTCATCCACCAGTGACAGTGGCTCACCGAAGCTCTGTAACTCAGTGAGGAGACCACCTCGCTCAGCAGGACATGTCAGAATCCTCGCAGGTGTCTTTTCATAAGCTCCTCTTGAGAGCACTTCTCCAGGATTTCCTTTGCTCTGGAATACTAACATAGCTCCTGCAAAAAATCGAAGGAAAAAAAATCCACCCTTCACATCCCTCACCAAACAGTGCCTTCCAGCAACAGGCACAAACATTCACACCATGACCATTCTCCATGGACAAGGAAACCCAGCGATCCAGATAAAAGTGAAGGGAGAAAGAAACAACTATCTTATCTAATGGGATCATTAAAACCTTGAAAGTGGCACCTAGGAGAACTGAAGGGTTGTAAAGTATGAATAGAACGTTGTATGAAGATGAATGGCACCTGTCCCACAGCCTTGAGCTAATACAGTGACCAGGAGCCACCGCTAATAAGGTCCCTGGAAAATTCAGCCTTCCGAGCCAAGCCCTAACAGTACGTATGTGGGTAGGTGGTCTCAGACCTGCCAGAGGACAGGTCTAGAATTAGTGTCAGGGCCTTAGAGCCCATCTCTGTTAGTAACACCAGTCTTGAGTCTGCTCTGGTCTGCGCACCCACAGGCCACCCTCTGTGCCTACACCCCCTGGCCCTATAGAGCCTTCCAGCTTCACCATCCTCCTTCCCTGGCATGCCTGAGGGAGCCAGGCCACTGTGATCTGAGAACACCCCTTTCACTCCCGTAACTCTGAATTTCCTTCTAATAAACAGGAGCAAATTTCTACCCGCTTGGCCTGCCCCTTCCCATTCTCATTCTGAATCCAACTTAGAACATCACAAAACTGGAGGGGTCTCTAAGAGACAAAATAATCCATTCGTGTCCTGGAGTTCTGTGGAAGCTCAGATCCTGAGCCAAGATATCGCCAAATGTTAATAATTCCTCTTGCATTTTGGTTCCTCCAAATGTTTCTGTGTAGATTCCCTCCCTGGATTTTGGGCACACACTGAGCAGGGTTGAAAATACTCTGGTGACAGCCGCATGGCGGGCATTTGGAGAACTCCAGGTTCCACACAGCAACAGGGGGCAATGGATGGACCCTGCAGACAGAGCCCATCTGATGAGCAGGAATGAGATGCCAACATTCGTCGGCACACCCTGGCCTCCTGGGTGGGGTTGGGGGAGGGACACAACTGAGCTGTCAGGGAACAAGATCAGAGAAGGAGGCAGCCTTCTGCTTCGACAAGCTTGGGGTCAACTTCCGCCCAGACACCCAAATACACACATGGAGGAAGTCCACAGTGAGATTTTGATCCTTAAGCAGGTGGCTAATGGGAGGCTTATCAGATGCAGAGTGAACATGGGACACAGACCAGGGTTGCAGAATGCAGGTGCAGAGCCTCCCCTCACCTGCAGCCCTGACTCCTGACCACTCACCTTGTCGATCTCACTTTGGGACGAAAGCGATGGCTGGTAGAGTCCGTGACAAAGGAGCTCTGTGATTGCTCCTGCCGTGGCCTCTTCCTGCTCCCCCCACAAGCCAGGAGGGGCAAGAGGGTGCTGTCTTCTTCCCTGCTCCCCCACGCTCCAGGAGGGGCAAGAGGGTGCTATCTTCTTCCCTGCTTCCACCACACTCCAGGAGGGGCAAGAGGGTGCTGTCTTCCTGCGTCAGTCCCAAAAGAGACCCTCCCCATACAGATGGCAGTTAGAATTTTTATCATGGCAAGGATAATAAATGGAACTTTATCCCCTTACGTGTGTTTTTGAGGTGATGTTCCAAAGACAAAAGCTCTTGGGGAAAGATGCCCCCAGCCTCTGGTACCACTATTATCACAAGGCTGGGGACAGTGAAGGAAAGCACCCACTGTCATTCCCTCCCACAGCCATGGGGAGTGATGGACAGCAAACAAACACAGAGACTTCACTCCAAAGTCACTTCCCCTCCGGGCCTCTCGGAACTCAGCATCTCCACTCCTGAGCCCCCAGACGGCCATTCCCAAACTCACCATGCATCAGAAGGATGCAGACACCACCTGGCTGGGGGAGAGAGAGCCCTCGGTGCCTGACTCAGTGCAGGCAGACAATCTGAGTGGTCACCAAATCCCAGACCTCAGGAGTTCCTGGGTGTCCCCGAAGTGTCTGCATCGTGGCCGGCACAAGGGTATGGCCTGCGAAGGGCGATTTCACCAAGTTTTGATTAGCTCTAGGACAAATTCCATAACATCTAATCAGTGTTAATGTTGTATTGTTCCAAAAATGTCGTTGGCAAGCATTTTGTGTGGTTGCCCTGGAGAAAACAGAAGAAATGGAAGCAGGGTCCACAGCTGAGGGAGTTCATTCCCCTTGGGCTAGCCAGGAGAAAGGAGGCAGGACTAGGTAAAAAGCCAAATAGAAACCATGTAACAATGCCATGAAGTCATTGGGAGGTCAGTGTGGACCAGATTAGAAAAAGCTACCTAAAGAAAAGAAGGCTTTTTTAAAAGAATACTATTACCCAACATACAGTAGTACATCATTAGTTTCAGAGGCAGAGTTCAGTGATTCATCAGTTGCATATAACCCCCAGTGCTCATCACATCACGTGCCCTCCTTCTGCCCATCACCCAGTTACCACATCCCCCACCCACAAGAAGAGAAGGCTTGAGCTGGACCTTATGCAGAGCAAACATCTATTTGGTTATTACTGTGTGCCAGGGCATACAATGAATTCCCCACCAGGCTTTGAGCAAGGTCCTCTCATCTCCATTCTACGAATGAGTAAAAGACACTTAGAAACATTATGGTCGGGGCACCTGGATGGCTGTCAGTTAAGCATCTGCCTTTGGCTCAGGTCATGATCCCAGCATCCTGGGATTGAGCCCCACATCAGGCTCCCCGCTCAGGGGGAGTCTGCTTCTCTTTCTCCCTCTGCGTGCTCTCTCTCCTTCTCTCAAATAAATAAATAAAATCTTAAAAAAAGAAAAAGGGGCGCCTGGGTGGCTCAGTCGTTAAGCATCTGCCTTCGGCTCAGGTCATCATCCCAGGGTCCTGGGATCGAGCCCCACGTCGGGCTCCCTGCTCAGCAGGAAGCCTGCTTCTCCCTCTCCCTCTCCCACTCCCCCTGCTTGTGTTCCCTCTCTCGCTGTGTCTCTCTCGGTCAAATAAATAAAATCTTTAAAGAAAAAAAAAGAAAGAAACATCGTTGTCAAGGTTCAGGTAAGCCACCCTGAAATTATGCATCAGCTGGTCTGATTCCAAAACCAGTTTTTCCAACCCCAGCATTATTATTACTCAGCCTCCCGCTGTGCCACCTGCCTACACGGGGCACAGAGAGAGACGGGCCAAAGGGGACAGAGGCTGAGCTAACTCAAGAGTTAAAGGTAGAAGCAGGGACAGACGCACAAACAGGTGCTATCCCATCCTCTTTCAAAAGCAGGTTTCCTTCCTACCTGCAGGGGCTTTCCATTTTTTACTCTGTGCTCATCTGCATTTCAAAATTTCTCCCACGAACACATAAATGTGTGTCTTAAATAGCAATCAGTATTGTATTAGAATTGTGGGTGGGGCATAGCTGGGGAGCTTTGAGGCAAAGGAAGCAGAGTTCCTCACGCTCTGCTAACGGCTGCTAATGGCGTCACTTCCTGTTACCGAGGAGGAAACGGAGACGTCAGACGAGTAAGCCTCCGGAACCCAAAGGGGGTGAGAAACCAGGTATGTGCCTGGTGCGTGATCTCCCTTCCTGTGTTCTGCTCAAGTTTTCCAGCACGGCAGGCACTGGGATGCCAGGGACAGTTCAAGGAAGATGGGTTGAGCGGCAGATGGAGCCGCTGCCGGGAGAGACATTCCCAGACTCCATACTCTGCCTCGACCAGGACACTGAGCAGCCAGGATCAACAGAGACCATTTTAGACCACAGTGAAGGAAAGAGTTAACGTATGAGAGATTTACGTTCTGGAAGAGAAGACAAAGGTGCAGCAACTGACCTTCCTTGACCTTGACTGGTCTATGACCCTGATGTCCGCCAATGCTGAGCACCAGGATCGTGAAATCCAAAGCAGAAAGAAGCACCTGCTCCCCACCCCTTCCCATTCAATCTCCACCGCCGCAGCTCAAGACACTAAATTGGCGGTTCTCAATCTTTCCCTTCAGCAATACACCTGACACTGTTATTTACATGTATAATATGCTCCTCAAATGTTGATGGAAACCCATAAAAAAATTCTGTGGAAGTAAAATGCTGCAAAATATTTTATTTTGCAGGTATTAGCAGAAGGTTTTCCCTTGTGGAAGGTGGCAGATGGGGGGATAGCCCCTGTGGATCTGTACCCCTGATCATTTTTCCCCTACTCAAGAAAGCACACCAAAATGCAAAGTCAGTAAGCTCTTGTAAAGAAATCACCTCGAACCGACTTCAATTTATTGAGAAACTTATCAGCATTGATTCTTTTGCTGTTGTTTTAATGATATGCTGGTGAGACCCCCTCTCAGACACCATTGTCTCTGGATAGGCAACCCCACTTGTTTCTATGGGGATCCTTAATTCCCTGGCCACACTCTGACCTCCTGACCCCTAGAGGCCAGATGCTCAGGCATTTTCCAAACCTGGACACCACCCTGACCTCAATCAATTTCTGATTTCCCCCCTTTTGAAAAACAGATCCCTGACACCATCCTCCCTGCCCACCCCCAACATTCTGGCTCCATGGATCCACCTCCCTGGCCAAAATCACTGGCTTTCTCCAATCAACTCATTTGACCTAATTGGTCCTCCACCACTCCACATATTCCACCTGGGACAGGGATTGGATGGGGTCATATTGATTTCCCAATATCCACCATGACATAGTCATTCCTAAAGTGGTAAAAGACACAGGAACAGAGAAGCTAGGGCTAAGGCGACCAAAGGTGACAGAAGGTAAATACTAGTGCTTACAAAAGGATGCACACTTGACATTTCACCTTCTTGAGGGACATCCCCACATATCACACTCATGCATTTCCTAGGAACAACTTACCATCTGACCCCTGGTCTGTCATGTTATTCTCTTCCACACATTTGTGCTCACACAGCTCACATAGCTCAACTCCCTTTGTCCAAACACCCCTCAACTACTTTCCCAAGTCTTTACCCTAACCTACAGACTATTCTGCTCAGCACAGTGCTGCTTACTCCTGACCCGGGTCCTGTCTCGTTGAGAAGCACCAAGTAATGAAATGGGATCCCACGTAAGAGGTTCGGTTCTCCAGGAAAATTATGACTTTGTGACTTGGAATTTGATGGCCTTCGAGTAGAGATTTTCCACAAAGAAATTGGAATTACACAAGCAGGAGGCATTTGAGAAGTCCCCGCCATTATTAATGTTATATTTACTTTATTCCAGTAGACAAGAGAAACCTGGTATAAATTTATCAAAGCTTTCCAAGACCTGTTGATGAGGCACTGACCACGTTTTCCTAATTGAAATGGCCGGCCTAAATATAATTTTGGGAGCAAAAGAAGAGAATATTTGAATTCAGGAATAGTTTGGGAAGGGGAGAAGTTTATGGCTACTTCGTCTGTTGTCTGAGCACATTTTCCCAAAGCAGAAATTTCCTGGCACAATCATTATTGTGATTTCACTGAATTAACACTTCAGACCCTACCTTCCATCATCTTTAAAGGAGGAAGCCATGTGTGCTCACCCGCTGAATCATGTAATTTGTAGCTTGAAATCATTCCTACTTCCTTTTCTTTTATTGATTTTTATGTCAAAGCAGATTTTCCAGACAATCTTTAATTTGATTCTGAATCATGGAGTCTGAGAGACCCAAGCAGGTGCTGAAGGAGGAGAGAGTCACACACCAGATTAGAAAGATTTCTGGTTGCATTCTGCCCTGTTGGCAAAAGCCCGTAACTATTTCAAAAGAAAATGAATGTTTGGCTGGCCTGGGGAGCAAGCTGAAATAAACAGAAAAACATTTTTTAATAAGGGAAGAGTTATCTCTTGCAAAGTGCCCCACCCAATCACTACAATTTAAGGTGTTTGCTCAATTATGAGACAAATGTAAGTGAATGGGCAGGGAAGTTGGATGGATTGGACCTTAGAAATAATGCATCACTGTCATTTTAAGATGAGTAAAGTGGGTTTGGAGAGGGAAGACAGAATTTTATGTGAGTCAAGGACCCGTGATTATGTAACATCCTCCCAACCAAGGTGATTTGGTGGCCTCCCCATGACATCACTTATTCATCCCTCATTCACTCCATGTTTATTAAGCCTCAGTTTGCACCAGGCCCTAGTAATCATGATGTGATTGCTATTGAGAAGTTGCCATACTAATGGGGAGAGAGACAAATCTGCCAGCCGCATGAGGAGGATGGATTTTTGCCCAGCGGACCCCAGTAAGGAACCCAGTGGGAAGGCTGTTGCAGTGACCTCTGAGACCAGTGACAGAGGCCCAACCACTGAACTAATAACTGCTGGAGAGAAGAAGAGATGGGTTCAAGAAATATTTAGCAGGGAAAATGAGCAGCATTGCTGTTGGGTGGGATGCATGCAGTAATGCAGAGGGGAGTTCTCAATGTCCCCTAGATTTTTTTTTTTTTTTGTCTTGAGTGACTGGGAACTGAAATAAAAACTGGGATGTGGTGAGGAAACATACAAGTTATCCAGAATGCACTTTAGAACGGAAAGAGCAAGAGAGAGCCACACACAAGCACTCTGAGAGTGGGACGGGAGGAGCGATTAACTCCCACCTGGAGAAACAGGGAAGGCTTCCTGACAGAGTGATGTCAGAACTGAGGGCGATTTGAAGAGATGAAAACAGGGGAGCCAGGCATTCTGAGCGAGCGCCCAACATGGGCAAAGCAGAGGAGTGTCTGGGAGAACGGAGGGTAACCCAATGTGGCAAAAACAGAGGGCGGCAGAGGATGGGACAGCAGGAGGTGTGACTGGCAAGGTGGCCCACTACCCGCCTAGGGCCTGGAATGCCAGAGGAAAGGTTTGGATTGTCCCCTAGGGCAGAGGGCAAGGGCAAGCGTTATTGACTAGAAGGGTGACAAGATCAAGGCAGAGTTCTAGAAGATACTTCCCCAATATTTTCAGATTTAAATCATCTTGCTGCACCTAATGCAAGAGCAGAAAAGTCAATTCCACTTCCTGGGAGACTTGAAAATGAATAAAAGTGAAATCAAATAAAATCCCTTCCACATTCCCCTGACTGGCCTCTCTCCAAAA